TGTTTCACGGCATCTCTCTCCATAAAGGTTCTTGCTGTCCTGATCTCACCCGTATGGGAGCCAACAGTGAAGAGGGCTGGTTCTGTGGCTTGAATCAGCTGGTAGGAGAGCCAGGCGTTGTGTCCGGAATCAGCATCCACGGCCACCACTTTTGTTACCAGATAATCTGCCTCGGCTGAACGAGGGACCATCTCAAAGAAGGCAGAGTCCTTGGAGTTTGGTGAAGGGGACAGGATTTGGGGGCTGTTATCATTCCGATCCAGGATAAACACCCTGACTGTGACGTTGCTGCTGAGAGAGGGACTCCCGCCATCTTGGGCCTTCACCTGCAGCTGGAATTCCCTGAACTGCTCATAGTCAAAGGACCGCTGGGCGTAGATGGTGCCGGTCTCGGAATGAATGGAGATATAGGAGGAGATGGGAAGTTCTTCAATGTTGCTGGTGAGAATTGAATATGTGATGTGTGAGTTTTGATCCACATCCGGATCAAAGGCTTGAATCTGGAAGATGGAGGCACCAGAAGGATTGTTCTCTGGCACATAGATGCTGTAGGACGCTTTCTCAAAAGCAGGGGCATTGTCATTGATATCAGAGATCTGCAGCAAGATGGTTTTGTTTGTGCTTAATGGAGGAGTTCCCTTGTCAGTGACTGTGATTGTAATATTATACTGAGATGCTTTTTCTCTGTCCAGAGGTCGGTCTGTCAAGAGAGTGTAGTAGTTGTCAGATGATGGAAGAATCTTGAATGGCAAGTCATCTTCTAAATAACAAATGACCTTTCCATTATCATCCATGTCTTTGTCATTGGTTTTAATTAGAGCAATAACTGTTCCAGTCTGAGAATCTTCCAGAATTGAATTAAAAATGGATGCAAACATCATTTCTGGCACATTATCATTTTCATCAAGGATTTTTACTTCTACTTTACAATGGGTCATTGATCCACCTCCATCTTTTGCTGCTACAGTCATTACATATTCTGTACTTTCCTCAAAGTCCAATGGTTCCACAAGAGAAATCATTCCACTGGTTGAATCTAGGCTGAATTTCTTATTTGCACTCAGCGGTATATTGCTGAAATAATATCTGATTTGTGCATTTGAACCTTCATCTTTATCTGAAGCTACAAGTTGCAACACAAGGAATCCAACTGGCAGGTTTTCCCTCAGACTGACTGTGTAGATTTCTTGGGTGAATATAGGTGGATTATCATTGGCATCGGTGACATTGATCCATATTTGGGCTGTTCCAGTTTTTCTGGGTTTTCCCCCATCCAGCGCAGTAAGTGTGAGCTGAAGGGTTGGTTCACTCTCACGATCGAGTGGTTTTTGCAGTACTAAATCTGCAAATTTATTTCCATCTTGACTCTCTTTCACATCCAAAGTAAAGTAAGGATTGGTGCTAAGATGGTAATTCTGTAAAGCGTTTGTGCCAATATCCGGATCTTTGGCATCCCCAAGAAGGAACCTGGTGCCTATTTGTGTTGTTTCAATTATCTCCAACTGGATAGTGCTACTGAGAAACTGTGGTGAATTATCATTAATGTCTTGTATCTCTATTTTTAGATGGTAAATATTTAACGGGTTTTCAATAACCACTTTAAGATTAAGAACACATAGTGGGGTTCTGCCACATATTTCTTCCCTATCTATCCTGTCATTCACACAGAGGTTTCCATTTTCTGCACTGATTCTGAAATACTGCACCTCATCCAAAGAGATGGCATGCATTTTGCGATTTGTCAGTTCTCTGAGACTCAGTCCTAGATCCTTTGCAAGATTCCCCACTACAGCACCTTTTGACATCTCTTCGGGGACTGAATAATGAATCTGTTCCGAGACGGCCCGGTAGGAAACCGACAATAGTAAGAGCGATAGTACTTGCCTTCGGATTGCTCTGCCATTCCCTCCTTGCCCTCGCTCCATCCCCTCTGCGATAAAGTTGACTGCCTCAAAATCTCAACGGAATGCGGAATAGTAAGAAACACTCTCCTTTCTTCTTAATTTCTGGGGACCATCCCTTTTCACAAGACTGCTTTGGATTTGTGATCTGCTGTTTTTCCCTGCCTTTAACGAAATGCCGGAATCCTCCTTTGGGAAGCATAGCAGCTCTTCTCCATTCTCTTCGGCGTCCCCGTTGGCTAACAGCGACACCCTGAGGCCAGAGGGGAAACTGCAAGGAATTCTATTCCGCAAGTAATTAAAAAAAGGGCTTGGATGTGACCCGTTTTTAGGGTGTTCAGAATAAATGCTGTGTTAACTGAAAACTGCAACAGAGCTTTGGAAGAGTTGGCTTTGTAGTTTTTGTTTTTTTTCTCTTTGTCACGCTGGAATACGTAGCTCTTTCAATGAACTTTTATTCATTGAGTTCTTAATGTCATGGTGTACAATGCGATGTCAATACTTGTTAACTTAGAATTCACTCCACTAGATCTGGCCTCAGGATAATAAGCACATACTGAAGATTGATAGTTGATATATCTTAAATACTCTTACCTGCCCTATGGTACACAGGCTAGACTTAATAAATGGGCTGACAATGACACTTAAAATATATCTTATAATTCTTACTGCATTTTTACTCTGCTGCTTTGATATTTACTGCCCCTATGATGAACGCTGCCTATAGTTTCTATATATCTAAAAATAAAGGTACAATGTGTTTGATCTCAGAATTTAGTTTATCCTGAGACATATCATGGCACCATAGGAAAACTACTAAATGTCAATTTTCTATTTATTTTATTTTATTTTACGTAAGCAATAGTTTTACTAACAAGAGGAAGAAGGAGCATGAGTGAAAGATGTGCTTCAAGACTCTAAAAATACTGGCTCATTTTAAGCATTAGAAAAATGTTCTTAGCAATAATGGAACTTTCTGAATAGTCTGTACGGTCTGCCTATGACAGTTGCTGACAGATCTGGAAAGTCATTTAAATCATGTAACAACATTCTTGACTACAATGGCAAGCAATATAATATTAGAACATTGTTTTCATTAATGAAATCACCCAGGATTTGAAAATGTAATTGTTTTAACATCTCTTTTACATTCTTTCACTTCATATTTCTAGTAATGTTTTTTTCTAATTTCTATTACGTCATTTTCTCTTTTATTATTTAATCTATATATAATCAATATGCTAGCAAAGAAGTAGGATCTGACACAAAACCTTTTTCGCTGGTAAATAATTTAGTGGATTTTATATGCAGTATCCTAAAACTGTCCTCCATTTTTTAAATGTGGAAGCCCACAACTGCAACAAGCAACCTAGCTGCAAATGTTATATTACAATTAATATAGATCTTTTGCAAAAATCTGATGTCAGGAGTAGATTCTACCATTTTCTTCTCAGGACTATTGAGGGTGTGACAATGTGATAGTGGTTTTCCTTTTTAAAAAATAATGTGTTGTTAAATGTAAAGAGAAAATGAGGAAGTGGACTTTTTTTTTACGTTTAGACTTCTAAAGTGTAAGCTGCTTTGGCAGATTAATCAACAGCATGGAATATGTTTGAAAGAAAGGAAAGCAATGAGCCTTTTTTAAAAACCCAAGTTGTTTTTCATTATCTCTCTCAGGAGTAAGGCACATACATTTAACATGGCATGCGTGGATTATTTGTATATCTCTTTATTTGTAAGAAAGTTTTTCCTGTGCTCATCAAAAATTACTTTATAATTAAAACTTAATTAGTTTAATTTATTAAAATAAATACATAGAGAGTAGAAAATATTTTAGATGAATTATAGTCACAATGGAAAACAAATGGGATTTCATATTAGCTTCATCTCGTAAAATGTCTCACACATAATATTGGCATCCATTATTGAGACATTTCATGTGTATCAAAAAAGGTGAACCATGAGTGCTTCAAACGCTCTCTATTAATTACTGTTACAAGATTTGCTACTGAGGAATCATTAAAAAGTCATTCATTATATATATTTGAGGATATTGCTACTTAATTTCATTCAAAATATTTACAAATGATTGACGTTTAGTAGTCCTTTCCTTTCACTAGAAAGATCTATGGAAAAAAATCTCATCAATTCTTATCTGGTTTCAATCATACTTATAAAACAACATACTTATGACAGTGTAAAGTGCTCAGAATTGCTTGACAATGAGATGGGTGGCAGATAAACTAAATAAATAAATTCTCTCATTACAACAGTTCATTTACTGACTGTTCGAAGTTACAACAGCACTGAGAAATGTAACTTATGATCATTTTTCATAGATACAACCATTATAGCATCACTATGGTCACGTGATCAAAATTCAGATATTTGGCAACTGACTCATAAGACAAGTGTAATCCCCCAGGGTCATGTGATCACCTTTTGTGACCTTCTGATAAGCAAATTCAATGGGGAAGCCAGATTCACATAACAACAGTTTTACTAATGTAACAACTCTTACCAATTGTGACAAGAAAGGTCATAAAATGCAGAAAAATTCACATAAAAACTTTCTCACTTAGCAACAGAAATGTTGGGCTCAGTTGTAGTCATAACTGAAGGATGACTTGTATACAATAAAATAGATTTCCTTATTTTTACACAGAAATCAAAGGATCTGATAGTTTTTATAGAATCTTTTAACACTTTCAATTTCATTAACAAGATATGTAAAGTTCGTATTCTTCAAAGGAAAACTCACCAAATTAGTTTTCTCCATCTCAGAAATTAGGGCATTGGTTCCACTAGTAGGCAGAAGAACATCAGAATTTTGGTTGCATGAAATATATTCAGCAGTTTGAACTTTGGGAGTTGGAAAAGTAATTTCATGTATCTTGGACTCAGAGGATAAGCAGAGCTGATAGGAATAAGGAATAGTTCCTTCCTCATAATTTGGTGGGAATATAATGGCATTGCTTGAATGGGGAATGGGAGCAAAGCATGG